GCGCTCGTTTATTTCGGTTATGCGATTAAACTCTCGACAGCCATCTCGTGATACACGAGCGTTTGACGCCCATCGAGAGCGTAACATAATCACACGACGCGCAATTGCAACGAGAAGCAAACTATCCTCATTTCCGAGGTCCCATTGCGCACGAGGCTCGGATCGTTCGAGTCGTTGCCAGGTCACCGGCGAAGCCCACGAAACCGACGGCAAAATCCCCAATCACTCGCTCGATGGTTTCTTTCCCATCCTCGTTCGGGATGCTGATGTCATGATCGTGTTGATCTTCCACTGATTGCGTTACGCAAAAATATTACATACTCGCGAGGCAAGGTTGAAGAGAACGGGAGAGTAGGGAGAGACTGGCAACACACTCTCGTCTTTTTCTCGTCAGCTTCTTTTTCTTTTTCCGCCATATCTCGCACCAGCGAACGCGTTTATTTACGAGAAATAATGTAACACACAAGGGAGCACACACCATGGTAATGGGGAAGAGAGAGAGGGCAGAGTAGGCGGCAGAGATTCAACGGGATACTAACCTGCGAGATGTTATTGAACGAAACCGATTTAAAGAACGTGCACGAAATAATAATCACTTCACTTTGCCTGCGTGAACGTCTGATACAGAGTGAGCCACACGGAATAGATGTGTCATGTTTTATACGGACGGCCAGGCATTATTTATACTCCAATCAGAGCGTCCCCGGACCGTGAACGTCACCTATTGTTAACACTATCTGATAACAAACGAACTGAAGTGTCACCATATTCGTCGATTTCCTCGTTCGCGTTATCATCTGTATTTTCTGAAAGATTACACGATTTTTTTCTGTTATATAGTGAAGCGATCGCAGAAGTATCCGAATAACAGGCGTATTCAGTCTCCAGCTGAAAAACGTTATCTGCTCGTGCCTCTTGCAATTAGTCCTTGTACCGGCGATAACGCGTATCGTGAGCAAATTATCGGGGAGTAAACAATTATAGAACATGCTCTACGAACGTGTGGTACACGTTTCTATGGTGTACGTTTCGCGAAATATTGTCAAATTTCGTTGAAAGGCTATCGTGATTATATTGGCAAAATTTCAGAGTAATTGGGGAACATGTACATGTGAAGGTTTTCTAGATATTTATTTATTTCGGAGAAAATATCGATATCGATATCGAGTGGGAAATTTGAAAGGCAAGTAGAAGTGTGAATAATCCGTAATTTTATTTAATAAGAAAAATTCCATAGGTACGCTGTGATATATAATAAATTTTGCTTCATTGACAGTTTCTACCACTGATAGATAATTATCAGTTTTAAACTTTTTTTCTTTTTTTTTTCGTTCGCCGCTCTCTGTGATAAGTGTTCAAATACTTTCACGAGTCAGCGAAACAAATATCTCCTTTGCACTGAAAATTGACCAACTGCGAGCATGGAATAGTTTCAAGGTTGACGTTAAACTACTCGTGTCTCCTAACGGCGTCAGTTAGCAAACTGTGGATCTGTATACAGATATAATTTGAAGGATGGAATTTCAGCAGAAAATTGTTTCATACGCCACCAATTAAATCATCTCAACTCATCGCTTGAATTTCTAATCCCCTTATGTTCAATTTCTTTATTTAGAAATTCGCTAATGCGTCGGTGTCATCTCAATTGTCGCAACTGACATTTGCAAGAATCAACATTTAACTGAAGCAAAGTACACGTTGTAATTATAAACTTTTCTTAAATGTTGAAGGTTTCCTGGAATGCGAGCCAGTTTTCTCGTGTAAACATACGTCGCGTATAAAAGCAGATTTTAGACAGATCGCTCGCGTTTTGTATCCCGAAACTCGCCGCGGAACGAGCTGTTACGAAATGACAGTGGAATCCAACGCAATGTTAAATTTCAAGAACTGCAGCACGTGTCATTTCGATGCAGCTGAAATCGTTGTTAAATAATTACACATTATTTTCACTGCCTTACAAGGCTCATTCATTATATTCATTCAGCGTACGATTATCCCGCCAATGAGATGGAATTTATGCTAGAGATTGCCGTGATTTGTCAGCCGGAGTATTAAATCACCATCCTTAATTACTTAGGCGACTCGTGCCATTTTGTGCTAGGTTTCGCAATTTTTATAGTTACGATGCACGATTGGTGGATTCGATTCTCAAGAAACGAGCGTTTCATCTCAATCAGTTGGTATATTACACGTGTAAATTTGATTTAATGATGAAATTTGTGTAATATTCTTACTTTTGTTCCATTTTTTCCTTTTTCTATCTGACCAATTCCGAATGAATTTACAAATTGTTTACACAATTGCAAGTGTTAATAAATATTCTGGCACAATGTTAGCAAGCTTAATAATAATGCATCAAGTCAGAGAATCTTTTCCTCTGCTATCGGCGGTTTTCCAAAAGAAAAAAGTCTTATCATATCCATCTGATACGAAACGTTCCGATATTTCTTTGATCGACGAGTTCATATCAATCAAATACGAATTTAGACTTTTTGCTTATCAGTAAAAAAATTTGTACAAAGAACGGTCTTAAATGTATAATTACACCTAAGTGCTGAACACAGGCGAATTATTAGCGATTCGACGACGTACCGAAAATAATAATCGACTTATTGAAATATGTGTCTTAGTAATTCCCACGCGTCAACTTCTTCTGACGAGTGTCTCGCAACGGAGTTACAGAGTCGCGATAGTCTCAACACGTTTTTCTTATCTTACATATTCATAAACTTTTTGCAAGGATTTGTCACGACCGAGGAAACAGATTATTTTTTTTTTTTTTTCGAGAAATCGGTTTTTCCTATATGGAATGTAGAACTTTATACGCACACTGCGCATTTTCTCGATAATTTTCCACGGATATGTAAGAACACGCTTGCGTGTGTCAATGATGCGAGTAATCATAAGTTTCGATCATACATTTTGGTAAATATTATTCGCGCGCTGTCTTAATTAACGCGGCTGCTACTGACTGATTGGTACACTATATATATAACATATATATATATATA